GAGAGAGAGAGAGAGAGAGAGAGAGAGAGAGAGAGAGAGACAAGCGGCGCACGGAGGTAATCTAAATTCCGTTCTTTGTCTGAGGGATTCTTTGAAACGTTTTCGGCGTTGGCGTCATGGGGAATACCTACGGGAACGGCCTGTGTGACTGTCCTTGAACGAGTAGGAACAACAAGGCGAAGGGCTCAAGTGTGGGTGGGTTCTGTGACGTGATTGCGACATGGGGCGGATCCGACCATCGCATACTTCGTTTGGTTTTGGGCCTTACTCTACAATCATAGAACAGCAGCAATCCCGCTACACGGACGAAAGCCTGTGGCCACAGTCATTACCATTACATAAACAGATAAGGGCCAATCGCTCCCGCTCGGCACGCGAAAAGCGACACAGTTTAAGAAAACAAGAAATACCACATCGCTAAGCATGGAAGAAACTTAAAAAAAGCAGTACGAAGTACACAATACACAGAAGGAAGTAAACGTCAAGGTTGTGGATCTTGTCTATTGTGCAGTACATGGGAAACAAGATCCTAGCAAAAGTCACCCGATGAAAGTCGGTAAAAAAATAAAACACGAGTGACAACCACCAGTGTGCCCTTGTGCCCGCGCGTCACCCATATCTCTTCGTCGAGGTAAAGGACTTCAAAATGGCCCGATGGACTGCGCTTCATCTCGCAGGAAAGTTCTCCGCGACGGCCCAGGTTGTCCGCGGGTCCCCGAAATCCAAACACCACCTGAGAGCGACGAAAAAAAAATCTGCAGTCTCAGCTTCGATCACTGGAGTTTTTGTGCGTCCTCCTCGGCTTCCGCTGCACGAGATTCGGAAGTTGACGTGAGTTATTCAAGCAGCTATCCCAGAGGAATACCTCACATCCCGCGGCGGATTCCATGGTTTTGTCAAGTATCGTTCGAGACCGAAAAAACTTGGGCGACAAGCATAGCCCGGTAAATCGAACGCCTTCCTAGTGTGCCAGTCTACATATGGCAGTTTACCCTCGAACACCTCAGCCTTTCTACCTGACTTTCTCTGGTCATGCACCGCGGTCAAGCAGAATACGGCCGCAGCATACCATCAACAATACACGTAATCTTCCACCACTTGCAAGTGGAAAAACAAGATTTTCAAGAGAAATATTCCACCTTGAGCATCAGCTTTGCGGCTTTCTCCTTCAGCATCGACAACCTCCCCTTCTCTTTGGTGCCCTCGGTATCCCGCACGCCGATGACGTTCCGCCAGGCATCAAGGTCTTGCCCCTCATCTGACTCCATTGAGCCCTTCGAGAATCGCACCAAGGGTCTTCCACACACGTCTCTGCGATCTCCACGCGTCCCCTAAGTCCGTTCCCGTCGCGGGCCACCCAGTGAGTGGAGATATCGTAAGGGGATTCGTAGGCCGGATCGGCGGGTTCGGGGCGATCCCCACAGGTGTTCTTCATGACCACTATCCGAACGGGGAGAGTTTCGAGCTCAAAGATGTTCGAACGCAAGCTGCCTCACGGTGCACTCCTCTCCGTCTTTGGTGCGAGTCGTGCCCTTGAAGTCCTCCCCTGGATACATTGCGCGGGTAGCAGCAACGCATGGGTTCCTGGGTTGAAGTTCACGGTCTCGGCAACAATGGCGTCGAACAGACAGCACATTTCCGACGGCAATGCGGAGACTCTCAGAAAGACGTCTAATAATGGATTCAGACGGACGTATTGAACAGCCCCGCGTTCACGCACTGAAAATGGAGACGGAATGCATCATGCAATATATGTGAAGGATGGACAACCATCATGTTCGAGGGGGCGATCATTGGGTGATGTGTGCATATCTACTTCTTCAGTCGCGACCCCATCTGTTCCCATCGCCGGTAGCAGGATCACGCAGCGCAAGGTACGGCATCGGAAGTGATGACACAAACACGCGAATAGACGCAAGTGCCGAATTCGTTTCAACAGCAGTGTCTTAGCACGTGCTGTACATGTACGCACCCTGCCGACGAACCTCCCGCGGCGCTTCGTGCGCTGTACACTACCTGCCTGGTCAAGTAAAACCGACGTGCTCCTTTGCCGACGTTGTGGGGATGCGCAGGCCCGTGGATATTCACCACGTTCACCGACGGTACGAGCAAGCATATTACACGACCTGCGACATGGGCCATTTTGGAGTGCTTTTCACCTGTTGGATGCCATTCTCCGCTGTCAAGTCACCATGCCTTAGCACGGGAGTATGCCGGGTTGAATATGGCCAGCACCTGTTGGCAAAATGCAGCAGCGTTCATCATTACCACCTAAAAACAGACATACCGACCGTTTTCTGGCTTGGTTGAATCATTCAGGGCCTCATCGCGGGAGGCGACGATCAGGTTTTCGAAACGATTTTTACGGTATCAGTCCGATTCGAGGGCTGATAACACGGTACGGTAAAGACGCCCCATGGTGTAGCAATAAAGTGGAACGAAACAGTACAGCATATAATCCCCACAGACTACGGTCAGCGTCCTGGCAGAGCGTATCAAGAAGGGAACAGTAGTTGTTGCCGTTGTCTGTCAAGGCCTCCCTCTTGCGTTACCGCTACAAAAGAAGACGCCAGATCAAGGTTCTGGATTGGAAGGGAGCGCGTGAGCGCGATAGGATGTCAAGCGGCATGCTTTCTTGTTCAGAGTACCACCCGTGTGAGCACATTTTGCGGCACCATCCTTTCCAAGGGTTATGTACATCCACTGGCAGGGTGGAACGTCAAACGGCGGTGATTTTCGGCGGTAGGGGCTGATGAGTTTTTTGGCAGCGGGAACGACTTTGGCGTAGGCGATAAAGAAAAACATGCGGTAATCGTTGAAATACCGGGACCGCTACCTCTGCGGCAACTTGACGACCGGAAAAGTCCAACCTTCACGGATGCATGGCCGTATGAAAATATCATCACCAGAGACTATCGCGTTTGGATTGATTTTTCGGGCCTTTTTTTTTCCTGTTGGTCTTTGTTGGATTTACTTGTGGCATATGCTACATAGGATGATGGTTGCACATTGGGCATCACTCGAAGGAGATTGCAGACAGAACGTTGCGAGAGCAGAGGAAGATGATCTGGTGGAGATTCGTTTGGTGGACTGAGACTTATAGCAGTCATGACGTGGTCTGTCTAGCGCTGTGTTCTCTGCCACGCCTCTCCGTGTGACACAACGAATGCACATGGGATTTCCATCTCCGCCCGCCATGGCCGACCCGCCTTCTCCGTACCAAGCTTTCGCCTGTTCGATCTGCCGATCGGACTTGTCATAACGTAACCTCTTGGGAAGTTAGGAATGCGTCCGCACTAGCTGGACCACTACAGACATTCGACGCTGGAAGACCCCGAGTAGACACCGGATCGAATTATTATTTACCATGAAAAACAGCCCGGGATGGTGATATCTTGCGTCGAATCCGGTGTTGCAAGAGCGATCTAACGCCAACCTGCTCGCAAGAAACACCTAATATGGGCGTGGTTCCCCATTTCTTGTTTGGACAGAGAACATTTCATGTGATTCTTGCCCATTTCCTATTGTAGGTAATGTTTGCCCACTCCTCCGAACACAAAACTTGCAGATACACACTTTGCATGTGCATGTCTACCAGTTCGCACCGTTGTTGGAGGATAACAAGAAAGGCTCTGCAAGCTTGTCATCGTTCGGGAGGGAGTACAAAGGACATTTGATCCCCTTCGAAATGGAACACGTGTTAAAATATTTGTATTAAATCCTCATCGCTGGTCATGGCTGCGAACGTTGGGAATTTGCGCCCGGTTACCCTGTCGCCGTGTCGCCGACTCGTCGCAGCCGTCGATCGGCTCTTACAAAGACCATGCTCCACGGCTGCGTTCGCCTCGTCAACACTGTCGCTGTAAACATGTGTACTTCAAGCTGATGCTGCTTTGATGACATGCCAACACCACGCGGGAGTCGTACACAGTTGCTGGCATGTGTGATATCCACCGATTGATCTGCCCGGAACCATCAATTCCACGCCTCAAGAAGAGCACACAGAACGCCGAATTTACGCTGTCTACAACGGCTTCGCTGTAGGAGACTCCTGAAGACGAAATCCGTCCGGAAGCTGTATTGCTATGATGTCCTCATCCGGTCAAGGTCAATATCATTGCTGTCCAGCTGTGCCAAGGGGTCAGAGGTCGCTGTTTCTTCTTTCCACGTCCAACCTCAGACCCTTACGTTTCTAGTCATAGAGAGGTTGGTTGTGGTTTGCGCAGTGTCTTGTTTCTTCGTTTCCTATTCGATTTTCGTACGACTTTTGTCTTACGTTTCTAAAATCTGAGACTCAAACTCTTACGAGGTGCTCTCTTCGTTTTAGGCGGGCCGGCACTACCGTATTTCGCGATGTTCTTTCTTACGAGCGAGCCGGCACTATTACGCTGTGTTTGGCATGGCCGGTGGGTGAAACATTATTCGCACTGGTTGGTGCTGGCACATTCAATACAACCTTGCGCCCAGAGTGCACCCAGCCTGATCCAGTATATGTGAATCAATGTCAGCGATGATTGTGGGTGGACACTTCCAAACTGCCGTAGTCTCCGCAAAACATGTTGGTTGGGCACATGAACGTGCAAGGTGAGTAACCGCCCATAGTCACCCCCCCCACACACCTCGACCGCAGCCTCGATACCCCGTCGAGAGTAGACCCGACGCTCTCCGCCAACGCACGCCAGAAGGAAATCTTCTCGTCCTCCGCAGAGCGGATATCACCCGACGTGGCGTGTGCAACAACGGCAGCCCGGCGACTTCTCCCTGTGGAGCATCGCGGGGCGACCGACAAGTAACCAGTAATCCCAGGTGGGAGGAGCAATGCAGCAGCCGCCACAACGACGCGGATGCAACTCGTCGCGCCCGTGACAGACGTGGAGCGCAACTGACGACGATTGGTTGTCTTTCTTGTCTTGCCCTGTCTCTGTCTCGTCGAGCTGTTGCAATTGGGCACATGAGATAGCGCACTCGAACACATGATATACAGCGCAGCAAGCAGTTAGGACCTTGCTGCAACCTCCTTTTTCATGACGATGCCACCGGCTGCTTGCTGTTGTCTGATGCGCTCGTCTCCCCTTGCCCGCATTTCTCTAACATTCGAAAGTATGCTGCCTTGGCTTTCTATTACAACTATTGTTTCGTAAACTTCGGAGGTTGGCAAGCCATAAGAAAAACCGTTACACAACATTAAATACCGCTGGGCCAAATCCTTCTAGGCATCGCGTCCTTGTGTCGTCAGAGGGAGAGCTTCGGAGACGAAGAAGGCCAGGGACGCCTCTGTTCGCATCATGCATAACATGATAGGGTTGACCGCAGCACGCACACACACCCGAAGGGCCCACACAACAACGCAAAATGTATCCACACACTTCCACACTGCATACATCCAAACCTTCAACAAATATTGAAACCTCCCAAGGGGGGACAGTTGATAGGATGAAAGACCCCCCCCACGAATCGGGGTTCCGTGGTCCAGGGGCGATCGCACCGTCCCCCCAGCACCCCGCAGCCCGACTCTGAGTGTGACCCTCTTCCCACCACCACGCTGCTGATCGCAGAAGGACGGCGATTGCCCACTTGTCCCCTTGGCGTTCTGCTGCTGGATATTCACATATACCCGTACCTGGCTCCTTTCAGCGTAATGGATTTCGACCGGAATGCCATAGGATCTCTGGAGGACGTCCATCGGGAATGGGACAGCCTCGAGACCGAGCGTGCCAAGGTGGAAGACAAGCTGCGGAGTTTGGACGCACCAGCTGGGGGCAGGGGCGGTGGCTTTGGCGGGCGGGGGGTAAGGGTCATTGGCGGCGGCAGGGGCAGGGACAGGAGTGGCGGGGGAGACTGGCGCAGGGATAGGTGAGAGCACGACAGCAGCAGCACGCGTACTACTGCTGTACGTTTTGGACGGCCGGTGTTGGTACCGGACGATGAACCAGATCTTACCCACCCGGGATGCAACACCCACACGTGCCTACTAAGAGCATGTGGCATGCTGTATGGCGGCACGTCGAAGCGTCTTCGCGGCCCTGGCCATGAAAACTGATGAGAGGGCGGGCGAAACCATATGTGTGCTTGGTGTCGATATGCGCGCATGATGCAAGATAACACCCCCCCTTCTGCAACGATCATCGCGATTGCCAGCAGACATCCCTTGCATCCCAGACATTGCATTCTGACTCTGTACGTATTCCAAAGCCTTAGTTATGCCCGGGGCTGCCCACTGCCCAGGTGGCCCGGGTGGTAAAGCTGACAGTAGTTCCACGCACTGCCGGTGCGTGGTCTCTGAAACCCGGTGTCACCCCAAATTGTTCGGACATCCTTCAGCAGTAAGTGGTGCAAGTGCCGGCTAGGATATACGAGTAAGAGACGACGTGACAAGCCGAAATCTGCACAGGCCCGGAAATAAGACACGTCAAATCGGATCAAGGCTCAGTTTCGTCGTCACTGCTGTCGAGCGCAGGTTGTTATGGAGAGTTTTGTGTGAGATTCCGCTCATTCGTGTTTCCTAACTTTACTTTCTCGTGACAATGCAAGCATCTGTTTCTGAACAAAATGTTTATTGACTGCGGCATCGTACTGCTGTATCTGTGTACGACATGGGTCATGATATCACTAAGATGCACACGCACCACCGCATTCTTAGCGGCAACGTTCCACCTGTGCGTTTATAGTCGAACCGGGGTCACGGTGAGTCGGGACAGGCAGGGATCAATGTGTGCCGTACACGTCCATCCCAGAGGACCGTTTGGTGCGAGGCTGGCGGCTGTGGAACGACTTTTGCACGGAAAGTGGCTCGTGTTGGTGTTGCTACCGGGTTACCCTTACCCTTCATCCTGGGATCGTGTACGGTCGCTAAGGTGCCGAGAGGCTGGCGGGAAAGTTCGAGGGAAAATTCTGACGGTGGAAAACAAGCGCCGCGGCCCGTGGCCCGTTTCACGTTCCCCCGCATCCCGCCAGGAGGTCGTATTTGCTCCGCTCTCAGCGCCCTGCTTCCCACCACCCCCCTACACGCGCACAGATGATCACCACCCTATACATCTGGTACGTGTGGCTGTGGTCAAGTTTTCCCGGCACACACAAATGTTGAACAAACGCACGCTTTGCGATGACTCTTATGCTCTCTCCCCTGTCTTTGCGCTTCAACGGTAACGCAGGCCCCGCGACACCAGCAATGGCGGTCGCGAGGAGGCCCCGCACAGACCTTCCCAAGCATCGCGAGACAAGTACCGCGCGATGTCGGGTAAGTGGGAGCGAGGGCTAGACCCTGCAACGGCTGCCATGGACGATGACGCCCCGCCGGAAGGCAGGGGGAGGGGCGGCGGCGGGGCGGCGGGGCTTCGGGGTGGCACCAAGGGTTCCATCGCGCACTACCAACGCCCCGCAGACAGCCACGGTGACAGGAGGGGACGGGGTGGAGACCGCGGCGTTGCCCCGATGCATGGAGCTGGTGTGCGGGGGGGCAGGGACGGTATGCGGGGCGATAGGACCGGCGACAGGGACGTCTTCTCGCGGGGAGGACGAAGCGGAACGCGGGGGGATAGGGCGCGGGGGGACTTCGACCGGTTCAGGAACGATGGCTCGGGGGGACGAGGAGAAGGGTCGCGGGCACGCCGCGAGTCTAATGGCGTCGGGGGTGGCAACGGTGAGCCGGAAGCGAAGCGACCTCGGGTGACGAGCACGATTGTCGTCGCGGGCGACGAGGACACGATCGGAGACGGGACGACGGAAAACGGCGAGCTGGACCGCTGGAACACCGAGCTTCCCCCCGCATCACCACCACCAGCGGCAGAAGCTGCTGCAGCAACAGAAACAGAAACAGCAGTGACGACAACAACTCCAGACGACGACCTCGTGGACTACGAGCCGGAGGCAGAACCAGAGGAGGACACCGCTAGCGGGCCTCCCCCCGCCGCTGCCGCCGCCGCCCCCCCTGGCGAGGCAACGGGCCAGGAAGGCGAGCAGCAGCCCATGGAGGAGGACGACGGCGGCGGGCGTAGGCCCGTCGGCAAGATCGTGGTCGTTTCGGGCGGCGGCCCTAGAGGGCGCGCTGCCAACATCGGCGGCGTCGCCGGCAGCGGCGGCGGGCGCGGGAGCCTGGCCAGCAGGCTGGGCCCTCCCATGGGGAGGCCCGTGATGGTTAAGGGGGGTTCGGGGGACAACGGCGGGGAAGGGGGCTTTGTGCCGCTGTCGGAGAGGCCCATGCCGGAGCCCTCGAAGCCAGAGCTTCACGTGGCGTATAAGGACGGGGACACCAAGAAGCGAAACAGGAGGTGCTCTATCCGACGTAGCAATTCGCCCGCCGGTTTGCTATTTTTTTTTGCCGTTGCTGTTTCGTTTGTTCTTTTTTCTTTTTCGAGAGCAGCGATTCGAGTGTTTCCTCGTCCCCCGAACACCCTGCTTGCCCTTGTTGACACGCATTCAAGGCTTCATATTTTTTTCAGGTTTTCTCCCTCACGCTGTGGCCACGAGTGTCCCCTCACAGCTTCTCCCTCCGCCATGTGTGTCGCGCGCCCCCCCCTCGTCTCCCTTCTGGATGCGCCGTCTGCACAACCACCACCCATCTCAGGATGTTCGGTGGCCTCATGGCCCACCTCGGCCGAGCGCGACAGCAGCTAGACCACGACAAGGTATGCCGCGTTGCAGCGCCAGGTGCACAACGGAAGGGAAAATCACGGCTATGAGTAAACATGCGGTAGCGCCGTCGTTGCTACTGCTATTGCCAGGATCGCGCATTTATTCCCTGCTCCGACCTCTCTGTTCCCTTTGACATATTTTTTTTGTGCGTATTTTCCGATGGCGTACCCGGCGTTACCGTTTGTTTTTCCGGTCTGTCTGTTTTTGGGCGCGCGCGTTGGGGGGGGGGGGGGGG